GGGGGGATTAGAGTGGGGAGGACACCAGGACAAGGGACACCAGGGTTTGGGGGTGATGAGGAGGGAGGGACTGTGGTGGGGGACACCACGGTAGGGGTCCTGGGATGAAGGGCATTGGGGTGGGGGTCACAATGGGGCCCCCCCATCCTCTCCACTTGCCCCTCTTTCCCCAGAGCCTTCAGACCGTGACCTGAGCTGCCTGCTGGCCTCACTGGTGCAGCTGCTGGCAGACCCCCATGCACGCACCCTGCATGGCTTCCAGAGCCTGGTGCAGCGTGAGTGGGTAGCAGCGGGGCACCCCTTCCCACAGCGCCTTGGCCTGTGCCGGGACAGCCCCCGTGAGGAGGTGACAATCCCAAATCCCTCACCCGTGTCACCCCCTGGGGTACCATCCCCACATCACCTCCCTGGGGGTGACACCTGTGTATACCCCCCCGCAGTCCCCTGTCTTCCTACTGTTCCTGGACTGTACCTGGCAGCTGCTGCGGCAGTTCCCAGCGGCGTTTGGCTTCACCGAGGCATACCTGCTGGCCCTGCACGACAGCACCTTCCTGCCCTACTGCAGCACCTTCCTCTTCAGCTGCCAGAGGCAGCGGGGCCGTGGTGGGGTGGTGAGCAGGGTGGCCTGCCTCAGTTTCCCTTTCTCTGCCTCAGTTCCCTCCCTCTTCTTCCTCAGTTTCCCCATCCCTGTGCTTCAGTTTCCCGTTCTGTGCCTCAATTTCCCCCTCTCCTGCCTCAATTTTCCCCCCACCTGTTTCCCCTCTCCTGCCCCATTCCCCATCTGGGATAGGATAGGGAGGAATGGAGAAGGAAGAGGAGGAAAATGGGGCACGAGAGAGGAAACAGAGGTGGGAGGGAAATTGAATCACATATGGGGCCTCAGTTTCCCCATCCCCATGCCTCAGTTTCCCCATATGCACCTCAGTTTCTCCATGCCCTGCACAGTCCCTCTTTGGGGCTAACCCCCTGTCCCCCTGCAGCAGCAGCCTCGCACCCAGACCTACACCCCTGTGAGTGGCCGCTGGGACCCCTCCCCAGGCAGCTCCACATGCCGTTTGCCTCCTGTCTGGGCCTGGGGGCTGCACTACAGCCGACAGCAGCAGGCACGATTCTGGAACCCAGCATGGGACGCCGGCCCCGTGGGGACCCCCGATGCTGTGGACCCCCAGAACAAGGGCACAGTGAGTGAGCTGGGGGGCTGCCATTCCCCCTTATCACCCTTTTTCACCCCAATTGGTGTTTTCTCCCCATTTCCCCTTCCTTCCCGCTTTTACCCCATTTTCTGGTTACCCTCCCCATTGCCACTAACCCAGCTTTTCCCCTATTTCTCCTTAGCACCCCTTTGCACCCCCAGCTTCTAGGTTTCCCCCCACAGCCCCTAACCCATTTTCTCCTATTTCCCAGCCTGCCAGTGCCTGGTCAGGATCGAGCTCTGGGGCGGTGCTGTCTCTGTCCAAGGGCTCTCTGACCCCACAGCCCTTCCCATGGCGGAGCGGCCGTCTCCCCCCTCGCCTGCTGCGCTGGGCCCCCTCCCTGGAGACCCTCAGTGATCGGGGGGGTGACCGTATTCCCACACCCCCCCGAGGGCTGCTGCTGCCCTGTGCTGCAGGACCTTCCGTGCGGCTCTGGCGACGCTGCTACCTGCGGGGTCTTCCTGAGGCACAGGTAATGGGGCTGGGGGACTCTCAACCCCTTGTCTCCATCCTAATCCCACATAGATCCATCCCAACCCCGTGTATCCATCCAACCCCACATGTGACCAATCCAGTCCCACATTCATCCATCCCACCCCAGTGTGCATCCATCCCAACCCCATGCATCCATTCCAACCCCATGTACATTCTTCCCAATCCCACGTGTCCATCTCACCCCCGTGAGTGTCCCTCCCAATCCCATGTTTGTCCATCCAATCCCATGTGTGACCATCCCAACCCCGTGTATCCACCCATCCCAATCCCATGTGCATCCACCTCAACCCCACATAACCATCTGTTCGCATCCCATATGTGTCCATCCAACCCCATGTTTCCACCTCATCCCCATGTGCATTCATCCCAACCCCATATGTGCCTATCCAACCCCACATGTCTACATCCCAACCCTGCAGTGCCCCACCCTGACCCCACATACCCCCCACAGCATGGCCGCCTGGCCCCGTGCCCGGCTCTGCTGGTGGAGGAACTGGCACTGCTGCAGGACCGGCTCTGTGCATGGCAGCAGGACAGGGCCCATGCTGAGCCTGCCAGCAGCCCTCTGGCACCCTCACGGTGAGGGTCCTGGGGGGCTCTGGAGGTGGGAACATACAGCAGGGATGGACTCATCCCTTGGGGTCCTTCCAGTCTGGGGGTTGTGGAGGGATGCAGCCCCCCAGGTGCTGGCAATGCTTCCCCATACTGCTCAGCTGCTGCCTTTGGCTCTGCACTGGCGCCACAGCTTTTTGGGGCCTGGGATTTTTGGGGGACCACCATTTTTTGGGCCCAGGGGCTTTCTGGGGACCATGGCTCTTTGGGGCCTGAGGATTTTGGGGGCTTACAGCTTTTGGGGGTCCACGGCTCTTTATTGCCTGCGTTTTTCTGGGCAGGCTGGGGCCTTTTGGGGACCACAGCTTTTTGGGGCCCGTGGTCTGTTAGTGCCTGGGGCTTTTGGGGGCTCCCAGTTCTTTGGGGCCTGTAGCTTTTTGAGCCCTGTGGCTTTTTGGAGCCCAGAACTTTATGGGGCCCACAGCTCTATGGGGCTTCATCCCTCACTGGAGGCCCCACAGCAGCACTGGGGTTCCCCCCCTGCCACAGCTCAGAGGGGATCAGCACCTTGGGGCGGTGGGGTTCTGACCCCTCCTCGGGCTGCGCCCACAGGAGCACAACGCAGGAGCCCCGGCCCCACGCCGCGGCTGGAGGGGGGTGGCTGGGCCGTGTGTCAGTGATATTTTTATTTGCCTATTAAAGCACAGCGTTCTGCAGGCAACGGTGTGTGGCTGCCATTGGAGGAGCGTGCCGGGGGCCCCGACACCCGGGGGATGTCGCGGTTTGTCGAGGGGCGGGGGTTATCGCGACAGAAGGGGAGGGGTGCACGGAAGGCCGCTCCCTCCCTGACGCAGCATAGCTGCCGTCCTCGGGCGCCAACGCCACTTCCGGTTCGCGTCCGTGGTGACGTCGCAGCGTGACACTGCGGCGCTTTACGCCGCCTTACGTCGCGTCGCGTCACGTTGCGTCGCTTCGGTGCCGCGCGGGAGGGAGCAGGCCAAGATGGCGGCGGGGCCCATCTCGGAACGGAACCAGGGTGAGCGGTGCGGGGCTGCGCGGGGACGGCGAGTCGGTGGGGGGGGCGATTGGGGTGCTCGGGCCTCGCTGAGGGTGAGTGGGTGGTTGTCTGTATGGAGTTCTCCACCGTGAGGTGGAGGGACTGTGCGGCCTTCCTGGAACTGCGCTCAGGGTCTCGTTGCAGAACCTCTGATTTGGAACAGCATAAAGAGGCCGTGTTAACTCCCGGCTTCAGGCAGGGCTCTGCCCTGGCACCTCCTGCAGCCTCTGATAACTTCCTCATCGAGCTCTCAAGGCTCAGGCCTACAGCTCCCACGTGCTGCTCATTCAGTCTCTTTTCTGCTCTGCTCCAGATGCGACTGTATATGTGGGTGGTTTGGACGAGAAGGTCAGCGAGCCGCTGCTGTGGGAGCTCTTCCTCCAGGCAGGCCCCGTGGTCAACACCCACATGCCCAAGGATCGAGTCACAGGCCAGCACCAGGGTGAGTGGCATGCTCTCCAAAAAGCTCATGTGGAGTAGAATACTTTAGTTGGAAGCATGGGAGAAGTGTGGTCAGAGAGCAGTTGTTGCAGGAAAGGAGGTGAGGGTGGATGATTTGCAGGGCCTTCATCTTGGGAGAACTCTGGGCTCAGTTTTTAAGTGAGAGGGGTCGGTGCCTTCAGGCTGCAGGAACAGCGTGCCCCTTAGAGGCAGTGGGGAGCAGCGTAAGGCCGTGGTTCTGCTCTGACCTGAAGCTTTGTGTGGGGCCATGTTGCAGGCTATGGGTTCGTGGAGTTCCTCAGTGAGGAGGACGCAGATTATGCCATTAAGATCATGAACATGATCAAATTGTATGGGAAGCCGATTCGAGTGAACAAAGCCTCGGCTCACAACAAGAACCTGGATGTGGGGGCCAACATCTTCATAGGCAACCTGGACCCTGAAATCGATGAGAAGCTGTTGTACGACACCTTCAGCGCCTTCGGGGTCATCTTACAGACACCCAAGATTATGCGGGATCCGGACACAGGCAATTCCAAGGGTTATGCCTTCATCAACTTCGCCAGCTTTGATGCTTCTGACGCTGCTATCGAGGCCATGAATGGACAATACCTCTGCAACAGGCCCATCACTGTCTCCTATGCCTTCAAGAAGGATTCCAAAGGCGAGCGGCATGGCTCAGCTGCCGAGCGGCTCCTGGCAGCTCAGAATCCACTCTCTCAGGCAGATCGGCCCCACCAGCTGTTTGCCGATGCTCCTCCTCCTCCATCTGTCCCCACTCCTGTGGTCACCGCTCTGGGACCTGGTGTCACCCCTCCAGGTGGGTAGAGCCATGTTAGGTTGAAAAGAGGCGGTTTTGGTGCTTAGTGTGTGTGTTTGTTGCTGCCCTGGGGTCTGTGGAAGTAGCCTGCTTTCACCTTGCAGCAGTATGCCCTGGGTGAGGACAGGACTCCTAAGTCTCATCACCTGTTTGTGTTTCTGGAGTGTCTTTGGGCAGAGCTGGAAAGCTTTGTTCTGTGTAGAGCTGCTCAGTGTCACATGTGGGTGCTCAGTGCAGCAGCACTGTGCCACATGGGTGCTCTTGGTGACAACGCAAAGCCCTGCAGATCTGCAGGATTGCAAGGCTGTGATCCTTGGGAATTCTTCTCATGCTGCAGCAGCTCAGCCTGTGTTCTCCCAGTATGGAGTGGATGGATCCTATTGCTTCAGTCTGCTGATTTTTCTGTTTGCTGTGGCTTATTGTGCTTTCCCCTCCTTCCTGATTGTCTGGGACTCTTTGTGCTTGTTTTTCATCCTTTTGTACTGAAGCATATCTTCATTGCTGCTCTCTCTCTTTCCAGGCCTCCCACCCCCAGGATCATTTCCCCCACCGGTGCCACCTCCTGGAGCAATGCCTCCTGGCATGCCTCCTGCCATGCCACCTCCACCAATGCCACCTGGAGCCGGTGCCCCTGGCCCCCCCGCTGGGGCTGCACCCACCGGAGGCCACCCGCCTCACCCACACGCCTTCCCACCGGGCGGCATGCACCACCCAGGTATGTGTCAGGCAGTTACCAAGCTCAGGAGATGCAGAACCTTTTCTGCTGTGGAATGGCCTTCAATAAATCATCCCCTCTTGTGTTTCTTCCGTGAGGCTTCCCTTCTGTAAAACGGGGAGAGAATTACTGGTGTTGTCAAGAAGGCACTAAGTACAGTACAGCCGTGGTGGAGCAGGCAGACAGGGCAGAGGGTTAGGCCCTACAGCTCCCCTGTAGTACTGGGGAATGAGTAGCGTATACATCTAGATTCTGTGGTTTTCAAGGCAAAAATTAAATCCATTTTGCATTGGCTTTGAAAAAGAAAAAAGAAACATTCTGATTTCATTGTTTCTAATCTTGCCTGCTCTATAATAACCCCTGCCCCAAGGGCTGCGGGGCACGCTGGCTGATTAGGGGCCTTTCTGTGATCCTGGCCCTGGTGTGTGCTGAGCAGATGGCTGCTGCTGTCCCTGATCACATCCTGGCTCTTCAGGCTGTGGAACAGCTGGTTGCGTACTGCACAGGGAAGCCTGAGAGAGTGCTTCCATACTGCGTGTGCAGCGGACCTGCACCTGGCTCTTGTTTATTTATTTATTTATTTTTGAAGGAGAAAGCAATTGGTATTTTGGTTTTGTTTCCTTATGAGATTAAAATAATAGAATTGTTGGTGGGGTGTGGGGAGGGTGGAGAAATGCAGGCTTTATTCCTGCTCAGAGCAGAGCAAGCTTCAAAGTCAGTTTGCTCGGGTTCTTAATGGAAATCTCCAAGGTGGTGGCTTCTCCCTGAGCCCCTGTGGAAGGGCTGTGCCACATTTGCTGCGTTTTCTTCCTTCTACCCAAGCAGTATTTCCTATCACAGAATCACAGAATTGTAGGGGTTGGAAGGGACCAACCCCCCAAAAAAGGCCTTACTTCAGCCTTGCCTGAAACATTCATCTGCTAATTCATTATCTATTTGTTTCTATATGAAAGCAAGAAATTTATCTAAAAACACAGTGTGGAAAAACTGCCTGGCATCGCTGAGAACAGTATTTTTCCCAGAGTTGGCCAAGTTCTGATGTGTTACAGCCAGCTCCATTCACTTTTGTCCTTTCTCTGTGTGCTTCAGAGGAGAGCTGTTTGCTTTCTCCCCTTAAATCTCCTGGCTGGGAGCAGAAAACCGCTGTCAGGCCCTTTTTCTATACCTGACATTTCAACCTCACAGCCTCATGGGCTGCAGCAGGCACCTGGAGCTGCAGCAGTCAGATCCTGAGCTCTCTTTATCCCTACAGGAATGCCTCCCATGCAGGTGCACCATGGCCCGCCTGGGATGGGCCAGCACCACCCAGGACCACCAGGCTCTGGAGGCCAGCCCCCGCCTCGGCCCCCGCCCGGCATGCCGCACCCCGGCCCCCCCCCCATGGGTATGCCACCAAGAGGGCCTCATTTTGGGTCGCCTATGGGTAAGTTGGTGTCTGCGAGAGACAGCACGTGGATTTTCTGTCAGTCAGACCCTTGGTCAAGTTTAGTGCCTGCTTCAGCCCTGTGCCCTCTGTCATCCCCTCCTTAATAGGGCTGGGAAGGAGGTGATGCGCGGTCTCCTCACAGAGAGGTATTTCAGAGCAGGACCTGGCAGCTCTGTGCTGCTTGGTGGGGTTTTCCAGGGCTTTTTTCATGTTTCTGGGGATGTAGGGCGTTGCCTGCAGGACAAGCACTGTGCTGTCTGATGTTTCTCCCCATTTCCTGAGGGGAGATGTCTTTTGGGTTTGCCAAAAGAAGGGTTCTTGAGACCTGTGTGTCCAGCAGTCGTGTTGGGGGTTATAGGAGGGACTTGTGGGAGGGGAGTGAGGGGCAGCGTCACCTTGTGTCCCTTTGGAGCTTGGCACTGAGTGGCTGGACGCCAGTCACCACTAGAGGGGCTGTGGATGCGGTAAAACCCACGGTCACAGTGCAGGCTCAGAACAATGGCACCCACCAGTGAGAGCTGAGTTGTGGGGTCACCCCTATGATGGGGGGGACACAGTGCCATGGGATGAAGGTGTACTGAGTGGGGCAGCCCCATGCGTATAACCCTCGGAGGGCCCAGGCTGATGCTTGGGGCTTCCGTCAACTTTCTGGTTTGCAGGTGAGTTCCCCAACCTCTGGGCACCAACTAAAAGCGTAGGGAGGGTGTGGGGTGGGCTGTCTTCCCACAGAGGTCACTAACAGCTCTGCTTTCCCCACAGGTCACCCTGGCCCCATGCCGCACCATGGGATGCGTGGCCCTCCTCCACTGATGCCTCCCCACGGGTACAGCGGCCCCCCTCGCCCCCCACCGTATGGCTATCAGAGAGTCCCCCTCCCCCCCCGGCCGGCTCAGAGACCCCCTGGGGTGCCCCCACGTGGGCCTCTGAGAGGCCCCCTGCCCTAAAAGCCATCGGGGCCAAGCTGTGCTGCCGTGAGTCCTTCCTTCAGGCTGCCATTCACCCTTGGGCTGATGTACCTCTGCCTAGAGGGAAGAGGTGTAGTTGGGTCCATCCCTCTCACAGTTCTCCCTCTCTTTTTTTTTACCTCCTCCTCTTTTTCCTCATTTGTTTTTGTAGCATTCATTTTGTTATTTTTCTTCCTCCCTCTCTTTGAAGATTTTTCACAGTAACTTCAACAGGATTTTTTTTTCCCCATGTAAAGCAATGATTGCTCTTTTACAAATAAAACATTTTAAGAACAGGAGGCTGTCCCTCTGAGATGGAGGCGAGGCTTTGCCTGTTGGTGCTGCTCTGGCCTGGGATGCGGCTGTGGGGACACCTGGGATGCAGGCACACACAGCAGCTGAGGCT